CCAGCTTAAGTAGTGCTGGGCCAGGACTGAAAACCCACGGCCTGCGTTCTGGACCGTGCAGATCGAAACTCCGATCCACGGTCCAGATCGCAGGCTTCGAAAACTGGTTCAGTCCTTGGCCTAAAACGGCCTGCCTGGGTCCCTACCAGACGTCCAGGCCCTGTCCAGGATTAATCTTCCTGGTACCTGGCTTCAAACCGGTCCTGTGCGGACGTACCCGCACTCAACGTCGGCCTGGGTTCGAACAGGTCAAAATCTGTTCGAAAACAAAAGAAAAGGTCCAAACGTTTTTAGGAGCTCAGCCTCTGGGCCTGAATCTGGCCCTGGCCCTAGAAACGTGTACCTGGCCACAAAACGGACAACAGTACACCCGTTAGAAAAACAGCAGCAAATAAATAAAATAAAGACTATAAAAATAATCTAAAGCTGGYRTTTTTCTGATGCAGGCCCAAGTAAAAATGCCATAGGGCCTTCAGGTTGCGGTGACGCGACCTGGGGGCCCTATTCCAACCTCGGGTCCCGTGAGGGGCCCGTGTGTAGGCTTTCAGCATGTAACACTCTCTCTTTCACACACACACACACACACACACACACACACACACACAGAGTCATTCCTGCTTGTCAGGAAGCCATAACTGCTTCTGAACCAAAACGTTGCACGCCTCTTCAGAGCGACCACTTCTGCACCAAACCTAAATTGTAAAACGTCTCTTTAGCTGGAGTCTGGACCTCTGAGCAGCTGCAGGGTTGGGCCTACTAGGGTTGCAGGCTTAGGTGGCACTTTTGGTGGAACTGACTTGTGAGGCAGTGGTGAATCTGATAAGTGCAACTCGGGCATACCGACACTCAGACTGTTTAAACCCAGACATGAAAAGGGCCCGATACGTCCAAAAAAATGAGCCCTTTCGCAAACTGTTCATCAATGCCCAACACATCCATCAACATGCACAGTTGCATCAAACGTAAACTGGAATTCATAATCAGAAGCCAGTGCAATTGTGGAATGTTGAGTACTGAACTGAGAGCAAGTGAGGAGCTGGACTGAATTTGAGGTGAAGAACTCGATCCAGGTCGAGATCCCTTCTAGGCTGGGATGGTTGAGGCAGTTCACCATTTTTTAATGATGGAGGCATCGGGGTACAGACGGTTACCGTACCAGTCGGCAGTCGTTTGGGATGAAGGACACATCTTCCTGCACTTCCACGCAAGGATGCCGGGAACCTTCGAGAATAATATCCCCTTCGCTCTGCAAAGGAGCACAGACAAAAAAACAGACGACCAACTATGGGCATCAGAGAAGGAAAGAGTAAACACCTCTGGACAGCATAGAGCCATATATCCCATCAGAAATGGTAAAAGGAGCTTCCTCATATTCCCCAACCTGAAATCACAACGGAACCAAGCGCCATGCGCCGTGCGCAAATTGGTGATGCGGTCAGATGCGCTCAATTTTTTTTTTTTCCTTTTTTTTTATTTTTTTTTTAGGAATGTGTGTATACACACACACACACACACAGCGAGAGAGAGAGAGAGAGAGAGAGAGAGAGAGAGAGAGAGAGAGAGAGAGAGAGAGAGAGAGAGAGAGAGAGAGA